CTCCACTTTAGGTGACCTAGGGTGAAGATGAAAGGGTCTGGTATTTATTCTTTCCATTATGTCTTCTAACGCTAGTTTCAGGGGTGCATGGAGTTTTTGGCTAAAGCCTAGATAAGGTTGGCTCAGGCATAAAGATGACAACCTAGTCCCACCAATAATTATTGGTCAAAACTACATCAAAATGGTTTATATGTAAAAAAAATAGCAGCAGAAGGTTGAATTTCAAGCTCAAGGAAAATGGGTCTTAAGCGTGGATAAGTTATGTGCTTAAATCAGTTTTAAATTGGAAAATCCTTCTCTTTTTCTAGTCTAATAGGTCAGTTCAACTTCTTTGATCGACCTTTTTTTTTTTTTTTTTCAGCTATTCCCCCTTCAAGGTTTAGCCTCATCATCCCTCTACCTCTTCTGCTCTTTATCCTATTAATGCTCCTACTATTTTTTCTTTTCTTCCTTAGTCGACTCCCATTAACATCTTTTCTTTTATTTTTAAGGAGTCTATTCATCCCTCCTCTTTCCTTGATGTGCACTTCACCACTGTTCTAGCTCAAAATCTTGCTTTTATTTAAGAGTTTGAGTCTTTTGATAGTGAAAACTTTGACATTTCCTTATACTAGTAATACAACTTTCATCTAAATATCCTTTCAAAATAGCTAGATATTCGAAATAAAATAAGACAAAATCTTTGGTTCTTTTAAGATAACCTAGAACTCTTTCAATGGCTTTCCAATGACTTATACTAGGCTTACTTATATATCTTGATAACTTGCAAACAACAAAACCTATATCTGGCCTAGTACAAGGCATAGCATGCATAATACTTTCAATAACACTAGCATATTCAAGTTATGCAATTATGTAACCTTGATTTTTGTTAGTTTTATACTTGTATCATATGGAGTATTGACTTTTTTTATATTAAGATACTTAAACTTATTAAGCAGTTTCTCAATATAATGACTTTGATTAAGTATGAAACCTTTGTTCTGTCTCTTAATTTTAATTCCCAAAATGGTATCAACTTTATTTAAATATTTCATTTTGAAAATAAAAATCAGATACCTTTTGGTTTCATTTATGCCAATCATATTAGTACTAAAAATTAGCATATTATCCACATAGAGACATATTATAACTCCATATTCTTTAGTAAATTTTAAGTAAATGCACTTATCCATTCCATTATGTTTAAAACCATTGGCTAATGTGGTTGAATCAAACTTTTCATGCCATTGTTTAGGAGCATGCTTTAGCCTATAAAGTGACTTAATGAATTTACAAACTTTATTCTTATTACCTAAAAGAATAAAACCTTCTAGTTGTTCCATGTATATTTATTCCTTTAAGTCACCATTTAAAAAGGTTATCTTAACATCCATTTGATGCATATGTAATTTATAAATGGAAACCAAAGCTATAAGAACTCTAATGGATGTTATTCTAGCTACTAGACCATATGTATCAAAATAATATATGCCTTCATTTTGTTTAAAACCTTTTGCAATGAATCTTGCTTTAAAGGTTTGTACAAAACTATCTATGTTATATATCTTTCTAAATACCCATTTACATCCTATAGGTTTAGAACCTGGAGGTAAATCTATCAAGACCCATGTATTATTGGACATGATTGAGTCCATTTCATCATTAATAATCTCTTTCCAAAAAGTAACATCTCTTGAAGTCATAGCTTTATTAAATGTTTTAAGATTTTCATCTACATGTAGTAGAATTGATGTTTTATTAAGCACTTTGGTTCTATTTCCTTCTACTAGGAAGATGATAGAATCTAGAGAAACAAAATCAAAATACAAAAGATTTTTTTCCAGTTCTTTGGCTCTTTCTAAGTTCAACAGAATCATTATTTTCTTTTCTTTTATTACCAATCGTAGGAATCATTTCAATTTATTTCTCCATATCAATTTTAGTACTACATATAAACTTATTTTTAGAAAATTTTACATGAATAGATTCAACAATAACATTAGGATTAAAATCAAGAAGTCTATATGCTTTTAAATTCTGTGCATAACCAATAAAAAGACTTGTAATACCTCTAGGTCCTAATTTTGATTTATGAGGATTAAATATTTTATAAAAGGCAATACACCCCCATATTTTAAAATAATCAAAAATTGGTTTTCTGCCATGATTTCAAAGTTCATATGGTGTCTTCAAGAATTTCTTTGAAAGAATTCTATTATGTATATGACATATTGTTAAAAGTGCTTTTCCCCAAAGATTTAGAGATAATTTAGCATTTAACAACATACTATTTATCATATCAACTAAGGTTCTATTTTTTCTTTCAACTAAACCATTTTGTTAAGGTGTATAAGGTGTTGTCTTTTGATGAATAATTACATTATCTTTACAAAAAAGAGAAATGAATATGGAAAGTATTCGCCACCCCTATCAGTTTAAAGAATTTAAAATTTTTTTTATTTTCAACAATTGATTTATATTCTTTGAACATATCAAAAGCTTTTTCTTTTGTTCTCATTAGATACACAAAAGTACAATGAGAACTATCATCTATAAATATTATAAAATACCTTTTTTCTTTTCTTGTTAGTAAACCATTTAACTCACAAATATCAGAATGTACGAGTTCTAACAATTTTGTGTTTATTTCAACTTTAGAAAAAGGTTTCTTACTCATTTTTGCTTTGAGACAGATTTCACATTTAATGTCATAATTTTTTTGGTATGTTATATAACCATGCTTAGTCGTATGATTCATATATTGATAGTTTAAATGTCTTAATCTAGCATGTCATAAAAAAGAAGAATGCTCAACAATATAAGCAAAAACATTATTCATTTCATTAATACTTAGTTTAAACATACCATCATTGGAATATCTTTTTCCAATGAATACACCATTTTTGAACACTATAACTTTATTAGACTCGAGTATAATCTTAAAGCCTTTCTTACATTATAAATTTGCCGATCCAAGGTTCTTTCTAATGTCAGGAACATGAAAAACATTAAGTAAAGTTAATTTTTATCTTGAGGTGAATTTTAATTCAATTGTTCCTATTCTAATCACTTTGGTAGGAACACGATTTCCCATAAGGATGTTTTTTGGTCTTTTGCATTCTTCATAAGTCTTAAACTACTTTTTGTTGTTATAAATATGAATTGTTGCACCAAAATATAGCCATCAATCAGGTGACTTATTTGCAATAGTCATATGAGCTTCGGTGATCATTCCAATTTGCATGTTAGACACCATTGTAACAAGTTCATTAATGTCTTGCTTAACTAGATTTGCCTTATTTTTAGAACTAGAACCAATTTTAATTTCAGTATTTTTAAATATGTAATTTTTAATAAAATGTCTTTTTTTTCCACAATGGAAACACATTTTATTCTTGTTAAATTTGGATTTTTTAAATCCATTTTTCTTGACTTTAAAATTGTTTTGAAATTTTTCAAAAGACTTATGAGTTTTTCCAAAATTTTGTCCACTTATATAGTTCACATTAGAACCTCTAAGAAAGAGTGCATCTCTTACACGATGTTTCACTTCAATTTATATATGAGTATGAAATTCTTCAATAGTGAAAGTATCTGTTGAATGTAAAACGTTCTTCTTATATCCATTCAAAGAAAAAAGAAGTTTTAACAAAATAACTCCAACTTGAAGTGAATCAGAAACCTTAATTTCTAGTTTGCTTAACTTAAAAGCTAGAATTTGCAACTCATGCACTTGGTCCATGATTGGTTTGTCATCAGTTATTAGAAATTCAAAGTATTTCGAGGCTAGAAACTTGTCAGTACCTTTCTTTTCATTCATATATTTGTGTTCAAGAGCAGTCTATATCTTTTTTGGTGTTTTTCTATTTCTGTATAGGTCATATAGATGATCAGATAATGAATTCAAAATATAACTTCGACAGACTAGTTCATCTTCTTCACGTTTGCTTCTTATTGCCTTAACAACATCAGAATTCTTAAGAGCTGGTTTTGGAATTGGTTCTAAATCTAAATCAAGTACATAAAACATCTTTAATGTAGTCAACAGAAAAACCATTTTGTTCTTCCACCTAGTGTAGTTTGATATATTAAAACGATCAAGTGTGATTACATCTTAATTTTGAAAATGAACCTTTAAGCTTGATTCCAAATCCATAGCAATAGTAGGGACAATAGTATTTATAATGAATGAACAATCACAAAACAAGTCAATTCAAAAAGTCATGACATTTTGTATAGTCATGTTTTCATGTTTACTTAAATAGCATAAGTAATCTTGTTTAAACAATATATAAATAATCTTTCTCCTTAATATAGGATATACCACATTCTAAACTACCAATAGTTAGCAATATAGTCAGAGTTGGTTGTTGTTCCATGCGTTGATCTAAACTCTAAAGAAGTAAGAGTTAATCCATTGTTGTACCAAAATGGAAAAGAAATAACTTATGCCATCTTACATACAAGATTTTTACTTTAATGTGAATGTTAGGCAAATAGGGAGATGCACTCAAAAGCAATGAATAATAATACTTTATGCCTTGCTTTCTAGAAGGAGAATGCTCTATTCATTCCTGAAGAAATTATCGGTATCCACCAATCTTTCAAAATTGCATTAAAATAACTCTCTCCATAAACTTTACCTTCTTGAAGCTGATGCCAATGTCAGGTCCTATAGTTCAAATAAGCAGTTTTTAGGTTCTTTGGTCCTTCCAATTTACTGAAAACTGATGTACTGGATCTTAAACAAATTTTTAGCTTGATCAGGGAATGGTGTCTCTGTTGCTTTGAGTACATTCATTATCCCTCCATATAGATTGAAAACCAACCTCTCCTTGTTCAATATCCTCTTCCAAAGCCATGCCATTCCATCTTTAGATATTGGAGTCTTCATATAATCTAAATTGCTTTCATGAGCTTAACATGGTAAGTTTCTATCGAGCAGCACATTGGGTGAAGTTTCATTGCCAAAACTAGCCCACCAAAAAGTAGAGTCAATCCAACTTATCTCTAAACAATTCTCTTTTTTAGACCCAATTCAGAGAAATCCTTGGCCAACAAAGAGACAAGATTATTAGAACCCCAACATATAATGCATAAATCAAAATTCTGATAGCCTTTTGCATGTTCAAAGTAACTGGTTGCACATGCATCCTCATGAACAAATTGTTATCTATTGTTGGAGCAACAGATTGCCACTTGTAAGCAACATCAATAGCGTTCTATTCCAAACTTGTTTCAACTTCAAAAGTCATAACAGTCTCAGGAGCATAAACTAGCTTGATTTTGCAAAGCTAAAATTGCACCAAAGCTAGCTCCTTCACCTCTTCTAATAGCCCAAAAGAGATCTTCTCCCATGCCATTTTTGTCAAGAATCTTATCTTTAACATCAACTATCTTGGCATCCACTGCATGATCCATAGAGAGACCATACTTTCTCACCATGTTACCATACCCAGCACCGCTTATGTGGCTACCAATGCCAACAGTGGGACAAACCCGTTTAGGAAATCCGTGGACTCCAAGCGTTGCACCAGCCTCAACCCAAGTGGATTGACCTGCCATGCATATTAAAAGATATTGAATGGTTGAACAAGTCAAGATTGAAAAAAGGTTTGTCAGATACATAAAATATGCTCTCAAAGTCATGGCCACCACTTTGAATTTTGAGTTGAAAGCCAATCTTCTAGGAGCAAATAACGGCTGCTGAGACATGTGATTCCTTCGAAGAGGTGATGATAATAGCAGGTTTTGATGTGAGAGTGGACTATGTCGGAGACATGATCTGATGGGTTGGATTGGCTTGTTAGGCATTGAAGAAAGGATTCATAGATGGAATTGGTCCTATCACTAGGCCTACAAATTTAAGCAGCCTTTGTTGTAGGTCAAACTAACGATTGATACATCAGCAAAACCGAACTAGCTGGCTATAGTGAGCCCAAGCAAAGTTGCACCAATTTGCTAATTGGACGGTTGAATTATACTTGCAATTAATATTACAAACCCAAACGTTATATTGTTTACCTTATCACTGAAAACAAAACACATTGGCCATTTAATCTTGGGCTTTGTTAGTTAATTGTCAAACAAAAAATTATATCCTTCTGGAATATTAATGTTGACCGTACACGTTTTCAATCCATAGGAAATTTGGAGTTTAGACATTTCTCCAAGCGAAATTCATTGATGAAAATTTGAGTTTGAAATTGGATAATTATGTTGTGGTTATCGTTTCTTGAAGGGAAATTAGTTCAAGCAAGAAATAGCATAAACTGTGAATTGGCATCCTTGACTAGACTAGCCGCCATTTTTCTTTTCCTATTTTGGACCAAAGCCTTTAACGTTAGTTTTAGATAATTAGATGACCCTTCACCACAATTTTATTTTATAAAACAAAGTTATTCTTTATTACATACAATAATATAAGGCATAACAAGATGTGTTTAATCTCAGGCAACAATATTAACTGGCAAGAAGTCGTGTCTTTGCCTAGCTAGAGAAATTAAGTTCCCAAGAAATTTGGAAGCAGCTTCGCAGGTGGTAGAAAATAACGGTTGGGAGCCACCTCAATGAGATGGCATTGGCAATGGCGGAATGCTTTGTTCATTTTTGAAGAAATTATCAGGGTCTACCATAGCTTTCACACGTGCCAGTCTCAGGAAATTGTTCTTGAAATACTTGGCACCGTAAACCTTTGCAACTGCAAAATCTGTGTTGTTGCTTTCATTGCTGCCAATGTCAAGATCTCTGTAGTTGAGGAACGCCTCCCTTGGGTTGCTTGAGGCATATGGAGCCATTACACTGTACAATCTTCTTGACATTTCAACATACCTCTCTGCAGCTCCGATGCCTCCATCAGCCTCTGACCATAGCACCGTATATTGTACTTTGAAAAGGTTTCCAGCTCTATGTGCAAACGCTGTTTCGGACTCTGAAATCTCTTCCATTCTTCCTCCGTATGGATTTAGTTGGATGAAAATATCCTCTATGTCCAGCAACACTTCCCATAAGGTCTCCAAGCCTTCCTTTGGAATCACTTTTTTGTAGTAATCAGATTTTGTCTTGAAGAAGACTCTGTCCTCTTGCACTCTATTGAGCAAGATGTCAATGGACGTTCCGTTGGGGAAGCCAGCCCAGAAAAGGGTGGATTCAACCCAACTCATTTCTATGCAATCACTTCGCTGCAAACCCAGTTCAGGGAAGTTTGCGTTCATCAGTTGGACAAGTCTACCAGTTTGTCCAAGAAAATGGCCGATGAATGAAACTCGGATGGTTTTGTTGCCATTGCCAGTTCCAGTTATAGGCTCAGGCTGAAGCCTGAGAAAGAGATCTTTAGGCAGATTAGGGGCAATTTGTTGCCAACGAAACGCAAGATCTGTTGCGCCTTGGTCCAAAGTCCTTTGCACGTTGAAAACAGTCACCTTAGCAGGAACACGAACCAGCTTGATCTTCCAGGAAAGGATGATTCCGAAACTGGTTCCTCCACCTCCTCGGATTGCCCAAAACACATCTTCTCCCATTGACTTTCGGTTAAGGATTTTACCATTGGCATCAATCAATTGTGCGTCAATGACATTATCGATAGAAAGGCCATATTTTCTCATTAAGGGTCCGTAGCCACCTCCACTGAAGTGTCCACCAATGCCAAGAGTAGTACAAACTCCAGAAGGGAAGCCATGGACTTTACTTTTCTCTGCAATCCGATAATAGAGTTCGCCAGTTGTCGCCCCTGCCTGAACCCACGCAGTCTCGCTTGCCATATCAATCTGTATAGACCGAAGATTAAACATATCAAGAATGACAAATGGTATGTCGGATGTGTATGACAGGCCCTCATAATCATGACCGCCACTTCGAATTCTTACTTGGAGGCCATGGCTCCTGGCGCAAATGACAGTGGCTTGAGCATGGGATTCATGTAGGGCTGTTATAATGGCCACTGGTTTTGAGGTCGCAGAAGATAAGATTCTAAGGTTATTTGCACGTAACTCGTAAATAGATTGAAACGAGGAATTGTTGGGAGTGTATACGGCATCAGTGATGGGATTAGAAGGGTTGGAATGTTTGGGAAGACATTGGAGAAAATTATCAAGAGCTGAATCTGATGTTACCAATGAAATGTTTAATAAAAAAAGGAATAATATTGAAAAGACGATGGTTAGTGTAGAGCTTGAAGCTTTCATTTTTTTTTTCTCTCAAAGAATCAATCTTGAGGTGTATTGTAATTGGTTTGTGCACTTGTTCTGTTGGATCGATGGGGCATATATAGAGAGAGTGGAGGCTTAGAGGGTCTTTTGGATAAACTCCAGCACAAGTCTGAAAGCTTAAGAAAGCACATGCCCCTAGAAAATTTCCAAACAGAATTCAATTGTGTTTTTAATACGTATGTTCAAAATTGAATAAATTTATTGGACTTTTTGCAAATTATTGAATTCTTTGTTTGACCTGTATATATATAGCCAATCAATAATTATATCAATTATTACCATGCTTCTATTTCATTCCACATTAAATTAAAACTTTTAACTTTATATTGACACCTTGATTTATATGTTACTTAATTGGTTTCATTGAATATATTTAATTCTTCCTTATTAATTTATCAAATATTATCATGCAATAATATAAAATATTGTGTAAATATATAAATAATCATGCCAATGAATATTAGATAATCATGTATATTCATGCAAATAAATAATTAAGAAATCATGTAAATTCATGCAAATAAATAATTAATCATACAATATAATACAAATATATAAACAATCATGTAAATATTAAAAATCGTACAAGTAAATATCATGTAACATATCTATTATAATTATCCATGCAAAATCATACAAAATCATGCAACTAATATTATATAATAATTCATGCCAAAATTTATTTCAAGTTTTTTTTTTTCTTTTCCTCATAAAATATAGAAGAAAATATAAGAAAATTAAAAAAAAAAAAGAGAATAAAAATAAAGACTAGAAAATAAAGTCAAAAAAATAAATAAAAAACAATATAGAAATAAAACCAAAAATCAAAAAGAAAATAAAAATGAAAAATAAAAACCTTTAATCGGGTCAGATCGAAGCATGTTTACATGTGAATCCTTTCGAGTTTACACGTGAGTCATAGCTTGATATCTAGTGTTGTAGATGTTCAGATTATTTGAAAATTGAGCTATCATTGAATCTTGATTTATCACAATTAGGGTAAATTTTTAGAGAGATGTTTATAAAATCATCCTATCTTTAGATGAATTATTTATGAGAACTAATAAATGCAATAAAGAGGATTGATCACATAACAATTATTAATAAGAAAAATCTTTATTAAATTAAAGGTTATTTCTAACCAAATCCAATATTACATCCATGAAAAGTCTAGAATTTATTGTAAAAATAAATTTCTAATTCGTTGATATTGGCTTTGCATTTTATTGAAAAAATCTACCAGTCCTTCCTTGGCCATATGTTATAAGTGTTGGCACCCTTACTTTTCACTCATCGATCTCTTCTACTATGTTTTTGGCTTCATAGGTAGCTACAATGATTTGGTCAAACAGGTATTCCAATTGGTCATGCTTTTTCATATATGGCTCATTTGATTGCTCATATTCTTTATTCACAGCCCCCATTTGTGTTTCAATTTCAATAACAATCCCATTTAGCATTTGGATGTATTTTTATGCATCAGAGAATGCTTCTTCACTTTCTTGCATCTGTGCTTGCAACTATCCATTTTTTTTTAGAAGTAGGGCCAACTCATAAATGGTAGATTATTGTGTTATGTTGATGTCAGCGAACAAATTCTTCCCTTTCAAGCCTTTTGTATGCAAGTTTCTACTCTTCAAACTTTCTTTTTGGGCACATAGAGGACTTTGTTAGGCTTATCATGGATACAATTAAGCTTTTTTTTGTTAAATTAGTTTGTGGCAATCATTCCTAGTGATAAGTTTAATGATGCATGTATATACAGTAAAAGAAAAATGGTTAGTATGCATATAATATATACAAGTAACAATAAAAATTTACAAGCAAAATAGCAATGAATGTCCCTTTATGTGTTTTATTTAGGGTTTTCTAACAAATGGAAGGGTAAGGATTTAACTTAGGTTTGGATCCTTAGGTTCATTTACATGTTGGGTTCAAAGGTTTGAAAATCTAAAAGTTCTCAAATTGTTCATAACATCATCGTTCATTATAGATTAGTAATGTATCCAAATCCTCACCCATTATCATAAGCTCAAACAAAAAGATTCAATTTGAGTAAGAGTTTTCACTAGCTCACATGGAGGTTATCATCTCATAAGAGTATAGATACTTGCTCTCTCTTAAAAAATGATAAAACTCAAGTCTAAAGCTTCTGCATGAATGCATGTGTATATATGTAAAGGGACATGCCAACCCAAATAATCAAATAAATTAGTATATATGAAAAGTCAAAAGCTATAAGATAAGCATATAAATTAATATATATATATATAATTATAAGCTACAAAATAAATAAATAGGTTAGTATACATGAAAAATTAAATAATTACCTAATAAAACCATCAAAGTAAGGTTTAAGATAGCACATAACTAACTAATGGTTTGACTTTCTAATGTCTCTAATAAACTCGTCAAACTGTCATAACATTTAAGTTTGAAACCTATCTATTAGACACAAAAATCATGAAGTCGCCACCAATTTTTTTATCTAGGTATGATTAGCTACCTATATGAGTCTATTCTTTTTAAGGTTATCCTAAGTTTAAGCTAAAGATCCATAAAAAGAATGAATTCTGGTTTACATCAACAAAACTAAGATTCAGAAGTCAATTACATGCAATGAAGACTTTAGCACCATATTAAGCTAAAAATTTAGTACCCCACATTAATTATATGTTATCTTACCTAAACCTTAATTAAAGATGATTTTTTATCGTGTAAATAAATCAATTCTAATCCTTTATTTATTTATTTACACAATATTGTCATACAAAAATCTATCAAAATTAAATCATGCAAGTATCATAATAAATATCATAAATATCGTGCCTAAAAAAAATCAAACAATCATGCAAAATATATAATATCATGCAATAAAAATATTATGCAATAATATCATATAAAAATTATCGTGCAACATCATGCAATAATGTAAAATATAATAATAATATGCAAATAAATAAATAATCATGCAAATAAATAATTAAGTACTCATGCAAATTCATGCAAATAAATAATTAATCATACAATATAATGTAAATATATAAATAATTATACAAATATATTAAAAATCAGACAAGTAAACATCATGCAATATGTCTATTATAATTATCCATGCCAAATCATGCAACTAATATTAAATAATAATTCATGCCAAAATTCATATCAAGTTTTTTTTTCTTTTCCTCATAAAATATAAAAAAATAAGAAAAATAAAAATAGAATAAAAATAAAGATTAGGAAATAAAATCCAAAAATAAATTAAAAAATAGAAAGATAGAAATAAAATAAAAAAAGAAAATGAAAAATAAGAACTCACGAACGAGTTGGGTTGAAGTAGGTTTACATGAGAATCCATTCAGGTCTACAAGTGGACTACAACTTGGCAAAAGCAACGTCATTTCAAACTATGTCTAAAAGCCAAAAACTAATTTTTTCTTTAGATCAACCTTCTCATCTTTCTCTTTCTAGGTTAGATTTTCTTTGATTTCTCTCTCAATCATCTACCAGAAAATTCAAATAACTAGCCAGATACCCAAATTCCAATGTTGAGAAAGTCCACCAATCGCGAATTCAAACAAACCCAAAACCAACCCAAATTTTCAAATTCTGACCACCATCAAACCCTTAGCTACCGTGAAAATCACTGGAAAAATCAAATTTCATCAAAAAATTCAATCTTAAACCCAAAAATTCTTAAACCCAAACCCAAAAGAAAAAAACTCTAAAAATTCATAAATTCAACCAAAATTCCAATAAAATCCAAAAAGCCAAAACACAAACCTAGAAAAGAACCAAAATCCAATATCAATCCTAATTCAAGAACAATCCCAAAAATTTGAATAAACCCAAAATTCTTAAAAAAAAAAATTCAAAATCAATCAAAACTTAGAACAAAAACTAGATTCCAAACAAATCTCAAAAACCTAAACTCAAAATGATTCTAAAAAACCACAAAAAAATCAACCATAACTCAAAATCAAAAGCCCAAAATTTTATTGCTTGCTTAATTATTACTTGTTACCCGCTATATTTACTAGTTGGATTTTTTTTATAGGGATTTAATCCCTTTTGATTTGAAAGCTTTAATTTTACCGAATTTAGGAAAAAGTTTTTTGACATTTGATTTTCTTTTTGATATTTCTTTTTTGCATAGGATCAAGTTTTCCGTAACCAATTAATCAATAAATTCCAAGTATGAGGTTCAATCTTAGATTGAATTAATCCAAGATTTTTTGTTTTGCAAAATCTCACATTTTTTTAATTTTTTAATTTTAACTTTTTTTGACCAATAAATAAAATCAAAATCAAAATTAAAATTAAAATTAAAACTAAAATTGAAATTAAAATCAACATTAAAATCAAAAGTAACATTAAAAGAAAAAATTACAATCAAAAATAAAATTTTTGAACTTTTACCCTTTAACCCAAATTTCAAAATTTTTATATTAAGACTTAATTTATGATCAAATCTTATTTTAATCTCAAAAAATTTTTTTGAATAAAATAACTTATCTACACGAGATCTCATATCCACTCAACGCTGACAAGGGATACAAATCAGGCGGCCATGACTCATGAGCGCTGTGCTAATAATGTTTTCCTTTTTTTTAATTAAAAACAATTCCAAAAGAATGCGGCAATCTATTATAACAATATATACTTTCGTTTGGTTGACTTTTTCTAGTTTAGTTTTTATTCAAACCTTCCGGATCAAGTTGGCTTGATTAAATTCAGTTGACTTTGAAAATTACAACCGTACATAAGATGATGCTTTTAGATGGACTCGCTTCTTTTCTTGTTCGCACACAACAACAACGTAAAAAAAAATCCAATTGGTTACTCTTGGATCACATAAAGAAAAATATATGATGTTGTTAAATCACATAAATCTCACCATCTATCCTACTCGACAATCTGAACATTGGATATTCCAAATGAGATATCAAGTTCTTATAATTAATTAAAAAAAAATCCTCACCTTCCTTTTTTCTTCTTTTATAAATTGATTGACTTTTTGAAAATAAAAACAGATATATATTGATGCAATGAATATTGAAATTAGGTATCTCATTTTCTCGAATGATTAAAGACTATTTCATCCTTGTTATTAAAGATGTTGATATATACGATATGATATGGATACAATATTTTTTATTTTTGATTTTTTATATTATATATGTCTCTGTATCTATAGTCAAT